CCCTTCTGTCTGGGTGTCCTGAGCTGTAGGTGATCCAACCTTGCACGACAGCCTCCCCCAAGCGCTTCTGACTTCTCAGAGGATGACCTGTTAGAGTGGATCAAGCCATAATATGTATCTTAAATCATCCTTAGCTTAAATTCAAGAAATCACAGGAAATCTGGGATTCCTCTTTCGTTTTTAAATTTTTGTGCATCTTTACAGTGCCTCCACTTTTTGGGCCCATGCCTTGACGTGCAGTCACGAGGTTTTTCTTTTCCAGTTGAAAGCAGGAACTGAAAGCTCGTGTAATGACATGTGTCCTGGACTAAGTTGTAAAAAGAGTATCGAATGGACTGCCACCAGCAGGATGACTGTGAGAAGTGGCAGCACTGGAAAGGCCAGCGTTAAACTAAGCACCCGATAAAATCCTGGGCTCAGTTATCTTTTCCCTTTGATTTTATAGCCTGTCGCTCCACTGACTTTAAAAGAATTCAGCTTTCCCCTGAAGTGCTCCAGTGTAAGGAGGAGGAGGAACAGCTGTTAAAAGTTTAATGTTTTAAAACACTGTCTGCTTCAGGCTATTTTAGATGCTCTGATACTTCAGTTTTTGTAAAGTCTATCACTTGGTTAGAAAGAGGTTATTTTGCCACAGATAAAAAACTAAGTTTTACTGAAATATTTATTAGCGTGCGGTAATATTTTTACAAATCGCTAAATGCACCGTTATCCCTCCAATGCAGGTTGGAGCGGATGGAACAAAGCCACCACCCAGCCCTCACTGGACCAGCACCAGCTTCCTACCGCGGATCCGCAGCCACAGCACGCAGGCTTTGTCACTCTCCTGCCGCTTGATACCCAGTGCGTGGGGACAAATTGCCACCTCGCTCCTCCCACAAAGCCTGAGAGCTCAGACCCTACAGGCGACAGGCGCAAACGCTAGCATGTCTGTCCCACGGCCAGGGCTGCTGCTTTGGAGAATAGGATGGGAGGGACGGGCCATGCCGTGATATTCTGTGTCACTTCTCCACCCGGGACACATCCTCGCAGCTCTGGGGAAGTCCTACTACATTGGCAGTAACTTTTCTCCTTTCATCCCTTCTGCCTCCAGGAGTTTGCTTCCAATACAGACAGGCATTACCGTGTCTGTCCTCCCTTTTACGTCCTTATCCGATATCCAAGAAAAAGTATAAGCTGCTCTGTAAATACGCTACAGGAATCATGTTAGAAAAGCATGTAATTTTGGATAACACTTAGATTTTGAATGTAGTCCTCTACAAAATACACCATGTAGTATATAAATAAGGTCCAGAGAAAGTGTATTCTGTTCCCAGTGCTGGCACCATTTGCTGTGTAACTTCTGGCAAGGGGCTTCTGAGCAGAGCAGAGAATATATCGGAATTTTTGGTTAATTAGTAGGACAAAAAAAAAAAAATCAATCTAAAAATGTTTTCATTTGGGGGCACCTGGAAATGGATATTTTGAATGATCTCATCAAATAAAAAAAGGCAAAACCCAGAGCACTGGAAAATGTTGCTTTGGCAGTTTTAAAGATTTTGCTAAGCCTGAAAGATGCCATTTTGAAATGGAAACGTCTTTTCAAAATGAAAGATTAAAACATGATGATTTTTCCTCTCTCTTTTCCTAGCTCTTGATTTAAAATTATCTTGTGAATTTGACCCATGTTAACAATTCACCAAAAAAATCCCCAAACCAAAGAAAAAAAAACCTGTTGTGCTCTACGGAGGAACTGTATTTTCAGAATGGCCCATGACCAGCCTCTCTTTCCCCTGAGGTCAGTCGGTGTTTTCCATCCTCTTCAAAGGCCAGAACTTCATTAGAGCACTTTGAAATTTCTCACCTTAACTCCCCTTTGTCTCAGATTGCTCATCTGTGAAACAGAGTTTACCTCCACATTCCTCCACATTTTGGCATGGTTACTGTGTTATTCTGGGCCAAATCACTTCAGAGATTCATTTGTCATTAATGATATTGTTTTAATGGACTAAATTCTGTCATGACTTATTCAACCAAGTTCAAGTAGATGCAACCTGGCAGGATATGAGTCACTGCAGAATTTGGTCCAGCTCTTTTAAAGTTCTTTGAAGACCCAGACGAAAGAAGTGAGTAATAAACATGGCCCTGAAACTATGGGTAGAATGAGGCATCCCCTTTCTGCAAGGAAAATGACCTTAAACTCATTGCTAACCAACACAAAACAGGAATATGAGCTAAACCAGGAAGATGTAATCAATCTGTTAGATGCTATGTGACAGATGCATTAAAAAATAACAACAATAAAGGCACAAGGAAATGTAATCTTAATGTTTATGTATCAGACATTTTAAGTAGATGTTCTCCTTCATTTTTTATTCAGTAGTCTAATGTCCAGAGAACTGAAACTCTAATTACTGCTGCATGCTGAAGGCTGGCTGCTAATTATATACCCTTACCTTCATTAGATAAAATTTCTGTGAATAATGCTAGGTCTGCAATAGAGCAGGTAAACTGAGTCACCAGAGATGCATTTTCAATTAAATGCTTACTTTAAATTGGTGGCTCATATTAACGCCGGTGAAACCTGGCTTTCTGTGGCAGAAGAAGTGAACTCTGCTGGCATGTTTGTAAAAGCCCAGGACATCTTGATCTCTGATTTGGTGTTCTGACACAGATCCTATCATTAGCATTGTTATGCAAAAGTATGTGTGTGAACAATATTAAGCACGCAGAACTTTGTGGGTATATTCATGTACTTAAATTAGTGACAGGTACTATCTAAGCAGGACTAGCAATATTATCTCTTTGCTGGGATTACAGCTGAGCAAATTACATACCAAAAATTGTTGCAGATTTATGTCAGCCAAAAGCCTTTCACAAATGAATGAATATGGCGAATCATTTTGATAAACTAAAACTCTGGAAAACAAAACTGTGTTTGTAAAATATCTTCCAAATGAAATATTTGCCCTGAAATTACTTCTTGTAGTTCTCCAAAACCCTGAAAAGTTAATTAATTAATATGTGTGAAGATTTAGTCCATTCACTGCTACAGCACACAGCAATGAATGTAAATAATTTCCTTCTGCTTTTAAACTGAGATTCAGTCCATCAGTTTGCTTTATTTGGCAAATACACCAGGCTCAAAAGGGTTTCACAGAAGTAAAAGAATGGCTGGATTAAGACAGCCAGGAAGGCGTGGTTAATCAGAAAACGCTAGCCTGGAGGCTATTCAGATAAAGAGAAACCCTGAGCAGATTTTAAGAAGAAAACATGAGAAATGCTGGACTTCTAAACTGCTTGGGCTCATCTTGAGTATAAGGAATTATCATGAAGAAATTACAGAAACCAGGTCCAATGGATGTAAACATTGCAATTTTTGACAAAAAAAAGTCTATTCAGAGATGGCTGAAGAAAGATCATTTAAACTTATACAGAGCTCTATGCATAAATTACCCTGCTCCAACCTGTCACTCCCTCTGGGACATAAAGTTACTTAACTTGTAGGCAAGCCTCAAACTCCCAGCAGTTTTCCCATCTGAAGGTAGCAACCAACTACCTGCATTTGTCTTCTAAGAACATGTCACAGAGTACTAAGCAAGCCCTCTGGGTGCTAGCTTGCAACACTGGCACAAGAACCAAATTCAGCCTAGGGCCTCTAAAGGAGATAATATATCCACTAGGAAGGACTTATTTCAGCTAATGGGACCTGGGGAGGGTTGCTTTGGAGCTAAACACTACCCTCAGCTGTTTGAATCCAAATTAAATTGAACTAACATAGCAGGGAGAAAGCTTAGCATTCCAGTCAGCTTTAGGCTAATGAAAATTTTGCAAAGGCCAAGTCCTCAATATGGTGCAGTTCACAAAAGTTAATGGGATAACTGTGATTTCCAGCAGCTGAAGGGGTGGCCTGCAGTGTTTATAAACATTTTGTGACATTCTGGTTACATTAAAAAAAAAAAAACCCCCCCCCCGCACAAATTTAACTTTTATTTGTAGCCATGTCTCTCATTTCCCCTTCTAAAGTGACACACACTGATAAGTTGTTGATAAGATAAAAGCTGCTGTGGACAAGCCAACATTTTTCTCCTCATGATGGAATACCTTCTATCATACCTCCCATGACTGCCACTGCTGACCATGTCTTCCACTACCATTAAAATGTGTTAACCACTTACCAAGCTCCGTAGAAATACATAGGACTTACAAGCTTTTAGTGGTAATACCGATACAAGTTTAAATGGCCTTCAAGAAAAAAAAAAAATCTTCTTGAGGGTCTGGCCTGACCCCAAGATTCAGCAATAAAATAGTTGTTTGAAGCCACTCCTGCAAGCTCTTTCCTCAGCACTGGCTAGGAAAGTACATACTGTGGGTCAAAGCAGCAGTGTATTATTGCCTGCTATTTATCTTTTGAAGAGGCTTAGGCTATCCAGCTGTTGTACAGAGTAAGTCTTCCACTGGACATGTGTCTTATCCAGTAGTTCCCAGTCTGCGATTGGTGGGCAACACGTTTCCTGTGAGACCCTCTAGTAGTAGTTGTGGCCAAAAAAGACTCCAAATTTAAAGCTAACGTTGTTCGCAATACACTGCTGGGTCAGTAGCAGGAACAGACTTGAACACTGAGTCACATAGTTCCTGTTCCAATGCATTAAGTCAACAGTCATTGGATTATTTCCTTCTCAAGAACATCAGCTGACAATCCACCTGACCCCACACACCCCATCTAACTGGGAAGCAAAAAGGCAAGGGTAAAGTGAACTCTGAAAGTATTTCAAAGGGGGGAAGTGACAGACAGTTGCAACTATTTGACATGCAGGATGGAAAATGTGGGATTTTCCATTTGTTTTATTGCTCCATTGAACCAATCTACACAAAACAACGATAATAAACCTTTGTCTTTCAGCAACAGAACAGTAAGGAAGGGACTAAGCCAACTATTCGAAGGAGAAAGGACTTGTCATGTTAGAGAATACCACCATTTTGCAGGGCCACTGCCTTTCAGCAATGAAGCAATATGATCCTACCTTAATGACATCTTCATCCGATGATCTGCACTCCACAGACTCCAGAAGATCAGTCACAGTCCCATCATCTTCCACAGAGATCACTTTGACAGGGACAGCTACAGTTTTCCCAGTGAGAATAGCTGTATTCAGGATCTCTGCTTCCTAAGAGACCAAAAAGCCCCTCTGGTTAATATATTTTGCTCTTACTTCATTAATACTGCCTAGATTCAACTGTCCATTAATTTCTAATGGCTGTTCCAAGAACTATCAGTACACTAGACAGAATAGACAAATTTGCTTCATTTGATTGTAGAAGCAAACTCCCAGTCCTGATCAGTGGCTGTTAAGACATTTGTCATGCCCTAACTGCTATTTCCTGAATAGTAATCAAGTGTAAGAGCAAATTAACGCCTAAGGAATGACCCTACATCACATTAACAACATGTACCTTGTATTTAGCAATAGTGAAATCTCCATCCTGAGCAAACTAATGACTGCTGATCACATGAAAATAAGGTCTTAAGTCTTGTTGTTTTACCCACAAAACCTTCCTCCTTAAGATTTTCCACAGCTACTGATGCTCTGTGACACCACTGGACAAACAGTGTCCATGTTTAGAGTACAGAGGTACTGTATAATGGTTAGGACACAAGTCTGAATTGAGGAAAATCAAAAGTTCAGAGCTTTTACAAGTTTCTGCAGTGAGGGTGTCTTCTGCAATACACACACCTTCTAACTTTCCAGCCTGCAGACAGTCTGCACAGGGACACGAGCCACGCTGAAAGCCGCCTGGCAGTACCTTCAGCCATCTGGCACATGGGGTGTGCGCTAGAGCATGCCCTCTGATGGCCAGGTCAATTGGATACTCAGGCAGACTATGTGTATGGAAGCAACTCTAGTCTTAGAGGTAGGCTTTAGGCTGCTCTTCAGGACAAAATGTGGCATATTCAGTTAGTGCCCCCGTTCCCCACCTGTAGAATGGGCTAGTGGCACTGTGTCTCCTTCCCAGTAAGACCTGGTTTCCACTGCTCTGCCTCCTCAGAAATTTATCAAGAGTGCCACCACTCTGGTCCCACCTAAATGACTACATGCCCCACAGCACTGTAGGGAATCAGATCCTCAGGTCAGATTTTCTAGGATTTATCCTGGCTCTTGTTGTTTATGGTGTGCAAGTCACTTGTTTGGGACTATTTCTTTACCCATGAACAAGGCTCATGCAGAATCATCATCCCATAGAAAGGACAATGCTAAAAAAAAGCATTTTCCTTAAATGAGACAAGGTGTGCAGCAACACGTGTTACTGGTATGTCATTATTGTGATGATTATTGCAAAATGCATTCCAGCCGTTTGTGTAATCACATCTTGCTCTTTTAAATGTAGAAGTGATAAATCAAAGAAAACAGGCCTAGCCAGCGCTCTCAGCTACCTGGGTGTCACATTGGCCTCGCGCATCACTGACTTATGTGAAGACGCACAGAGCACGCAATTTGGTGCCTGCATTCTTCCATTCCTAATAACAAGACACTGCTCGTTCCTGGAAAGGTTTTCGAGCTTTTCAGAACCATGCCTGCAAATCACAGACTCTCCCATAGAACAAGAGGCTCTTGATTTCAGCTGGCTCTTTTGAAATAAAGGCTTCTCAAGCCCCCCCAAGTGCTAGCTTCTCATTATCTAAATAGCTCACACTATGAGCTCTGAGACTGACCTGATTTCACTTGTGGAAGACAAAGTAAGAGATTAAACCAAGTCACCAGAAGATGATGACTCCTCCTACTGCCTCTTAGGCTAAAGGGGAGATGCTGAGATTTCTCTAATCTAAAGGATACGGATCAAAAAGACCTCTTCCTATTACTTAAAGGAGGGGAGACACTTTATTTGGGCTCAAAGTAATATTTAAAGAAATAAAGGAAGAAAGAAAACCCTCCACTCTTTTGATAGCTACTTTGCTAAAGTTCTCCCATCCTCACCATGATCTTTAGGGGAAGGTGAAATAGGATTTCAGAAAACAGAACTTAAGAAGAAAATCTCCTCCCTCCCTCAGCACAAAAGCTCTTCATATATTCTGAAATTATAATTCATACAAAGGTGAGAATATCTGCCTGCACTGTAAGGTCCATCTGTCTTGAGCACACATTTGTTCTCGGAAGAAAATATATTATTCTGGCAACTGGGATCTCAAAGATTTGCAATTAAGTCTCCAGATTCTTTTATTTATTTCCTATCTGGGCTTTGCAACAGATTTACTGCATGCAGGTTATTCAGATACTTTTGCTGCTCTCCTGCAGGCTCCAGTGAACTGCCAATGAGGGCAGCATGACAGAACAAGTGCTATTAAGCATCCACGATAATTACAGAATCCAGGCATTAGGTCCTGATCTTGCAAACACTTGGGCATGTATCTCATTTCATTGGGACTATTCAAGGCCAGAACACACGCCTGGCTGCTTGCACCTAGCGCTAAGCTGGAAAGACCCGCTCCCCCAAGCAGGGAATGGCCTGCTTCCTCCAGTTGGTACATTATAATATGACCCTGGCAATTACTCTATAAAGCAAAAGCAGGTTTAATAACAAAACCTTTGAAACTGGGTGATTAATGAGGTCTCCTTACCAAAGGCAAGTGCAATTTCCCCTGGTAAGAGATAGCAACAGAGAATGATTCTCAAAAGCTTCACAGTTTCTTTCAAGTTTCTAGATTTTCCAAGTCCTGGCTTTGGATATTCTGAATGTAGACTGCATCCTAATGTACCCAGTACCTGCCATTTTCCAGAAATGGATGCAGAAGCAGCCCAATTAGTACATCAGACGTTCACTGTCACCTTGCAAAAGCAGGTGCACAGAACAGCAAATACACAGCAAATTTCTGCATATCCTAAGTCTCAGGCAACTGCAGAGCTCAGCAGCACAGGTCTGGACCCAAGGCCTTCTGCCTGCAGCTACAGTCCAACAGATACTGATCTGTACTTAACCCAGCTGTGTGAATAATTTAAATGACTTTAATAGGAGTACTTAAATAAAAAGAGATAAGTATATTCCTAACTGGTTCTAAGATAGGAAGCAAAATCATATTTTGTCTTTATTGAAAATTCAAAGGCTTTATAGCTTTTGTCTGTATCCATGCTCTAGAGCTATGTTCAAAACCAGGGTGTTTCCAGAACAGGGCATAGTCCATGCCAGCATGTGACAGTATCGCAAATTCTTAGGCAGTTACAAAAATCTCCAATACAATCTTTGTCTCCCTCCCTCCAAAAGAAATCAAATAAAAGAGTAATGCCTAGAGTTCATAGACTTGTCTGGTCAGGTGCTCTGATTTTCTATCAGCAATCACCAAAGCTCTTGTCCAGTCTCAGGAAAGCAAATCCACCCAACACTTCTCTACAGCAACGGAAGCGCAAAGCAAGCCAGCAACAGTCCAAGCCTGTGCTAGTCTCTGCTAGAATAACTGGCCTGTATGCTCTTTTGTGGAGTTTTCACTGCCTCCACCTGTATGCACTTGGAGGATGCTTTCTTTAGGCACCTGGTTTGCCTCTCTCCTTTGAGGGGAGAGGCATACTAACCATTTACACTAATTTAAGCAGCAGGGACAGTGTAAAATTCTTCAGTCATGTGTTTTAATAGCTAGAGAGGGCTTAATGTTCCCGTGGTGAAAGCATATAAAAGTTATTTCCTTCTGAGGAAACAAACATGATACTTATTTAGTCATAAATACTTATGTATACAGAGACTTATAGTTCAGAGTCTCAGCATGTAAAAGCTATAAATCTAAACAGTTACTAAGTTAAAAGTGTTACTTTTTGCTGCTTAAGTGATACAAGAATCTTCTGAAGAAATATTATATTCTTTGTCCATAACTGAGGTAGATTATAGCAGACATGATGTCAGAGTATTGCAGCACGGGAACGCTCAGAGATTTTGCAAAGCTAGAGCCAAGTATTCTGACTACTAAAAGTCGATTCCCAGAGCAGCCGTAAGAAAGATGCTGATCTTTCTCTAACCATTAGGTAGGATATCTCTGTAACTCACCTACACCAAACCTCAGTGATAATCAAATAAAATAATAACAGCAATCAGAGGAAAACATTTCTCTCCATGTAACAGAAATGAAAGACCGGGTAATCTTTATTCTGAAATTGTTACCATGTTTAAAAAATGGTAATACTTTTAAAGAACATTCTGGAATGAGTATTCTTTGCCTACTGAAGAGATTCATATTAAATAACTGCACATATTAAGCCCTCCAGCAGAAACATATTCAGAAGATGTGCGCAGTAAGCATACATCTATTTAGGTAGAAATGCAGAAGTGAACACCTATTAGTTTTTCAATTTTAATTGGTAGCATCCCTGCAATTTAATTTCCCTTTGGATTTCTTTTGCCTTATAATTCACTGGGTGAAAGAAAGGACTTTAACAATATCTTTATAAATCTTAAGGATTTTTCCTTTCTTCCCTTAGTTGTCTCCCTGCACCACAGCTTTTCCTAATTTTGTCTTAATAATGACTTTAAAAATAAATAAATATATGACTAACTGGTGCTTAGCTTTGGGGCTCTGCTCCAGATTTGTAACAGGGACACTTTGTTTAGTACTAAAATACAAAGAAAAGTTTAGTGGCAACTGTCAGCATTCTTTTCCAAAAACACTTTAGCAAATTCAAGATGCTATTTTTATGCCAAATCCCTGCTAGCCCTCACAAATTGCACAACGCTTGAGCAGCACTGACCAAGGCACTAGTTTATTTTCACAAAAGACCTGCAGATATGTTTCCTCAAAACAACTTGAGGGGATCTGCAACTCATACCATTTAGATGGAGAAGAAGTAGAAAAACACTGAAAAAAACTGCCTTAAAAATGTAGCTTTTGATCCTAGTATCAGTGGAGTTACTCCATTTTTGTAGGCATTAATTGTGAGGAGACTCTCCATCTTTGCGCTCAAATGATATAATTAGATCTCTAAAATAACCATGTAGATTTATTTTTCATTCCCCATTAGAAGTTAATGGGCGTGACGTACACAGATAATATACATTAATGTTCAACAATCTGCCATGGTACTTGTCCTGCTACATCATACAAGGAAAAAGGCATTAAGCAGTTGCCCTACCATGGCAGCACGCGCTCCACAAGCGCAGCAGAGCTCCAGTCATGCTGCTGATTACGCTAGTT